ATTGTGTGCTTCTGTGTATATGTGCAAGAGCTGCATTGTGTGTGTGTAAGGGATACATTGTGTGTGTAAGGGAAGAATGGTGTGTTTCTGTGTGTGTGTAGGATGCATTGTATATTTCAGTGTGTGTGTGTAGGGATGCATTCTGTGCATGAGTGTTTCTGTGTCTGTGTAAGGATGCATTGTGTATGTGTGTAGTGTGAAAGAGAGGGTTTGTGGGGTAGGATAGGGGCTGAGAGGGTAGCAGCTCTTTATTTTTATTATTATATTTATTTTGTTAATGTAATTTTTTTGTATATTTTTTCTTTACGTTTTTTGTCTTACACTCCCCTTTAGTGTATCTCTTGCAAACCCATTGTGTGTCTCTTATCCCCCCTCTTTGTATGTCTCCTACATCCTCCCAACCCCTTTGCATGTCTTACTCCCCCAAGCCCCTTTGTGTCTTACTTTTCCCAGCTCCTTGGTGTGCCTCTTTTCCCCCCATGCCCCTCTGTGTGTCACCCTCACAAGCGACTCTGTGTGTCTCTCTCCTTATCCCCTCTGTGTGTCTCTGTCTTCCCTACCAGCCCTTCTGTGCATCTCTTTAACCCCTTCCTCAGCCTCTCTGTGTGTCTTACACTCCCCCCGTCCCTTAATGATCTCTTTCACTTCCCCTCCTGTCCCTTAGTGTTGTCCCTTAGTGTTGTCCCCTCCGCTCCCATCCCATACTGTTGTCCCCTCCCCTCCTGTCCCTTAGTGCTCTCCCCTCCCCTCCTACCACTTAGTGCTCTCCTATCCCGTTGTGCTCTAACATCCCTTAGTGATCTCCCCTCCCCACCTGTCCCTTAGTGATCTCCCCTGCCCCCCTGTCCCTTAGTGATCTCCCCTGCCCCCTGTCCCTTAATGCTCTCCCCCGCCCCTGTCACTTATGCTCTCCCCTGCCACATTATCTCTTAATGCCCCCTGACCCTTAGTGCTCTCCTCTGCTCCTCCACCCCCGTTCCCATAGTGCTCATCCACCCCTGTCATTTAGAGTCCCCCAACTTTCCTTTAGTGGTCTCTCCTCCCCCAACTTTCCTTTGAGTGGTCTCTCCTGCCCCCATCTTTCCTTAGTGAGGTCTCATATACCCCCCCATCTTTCCTTAGTGTTTTCTCCTCCCCCCCTCCCATCTTTCCCTTAGGTAGGTTCCTCTCCCTGCCCACACCTCAATTAGTGCCCCATCTTTCAGTTAGTGGTCTCTCCCCACCCCATCTTTCGCCAGTGGCCCCACCATCTTTCTCCTTGGTGGTCTCTCTCCCCTCCCATTTTTTCCTTGAGTGGTCTCTCCTCCCCACCCCATCTTTCTTGAGTGGTCTCCCCCTCCATCTTTCGCCAGGTGGTGCTGCTCCTCCCCTCTCATCTTTCCCTTAGTGGTCTCTCCTCCCCCTCCATTTTCTCTTGAGTTGCCAGTGGTCACTCCTCCCACATGCTACATAGTGGTCTCCCCCCATCTTTCCCTTAGCGGTCTCTCCTCCCCCTTCCATCTTTCCCATAGAGGTCTCTCTTCCCCCCACCATCTTTCTCTTAGTGCCAGTGGTCACTCCTCCCCCCTCCCATCTTTCCCTTAGTGGTCTCTGTCACGGCAAGGGTGTATAATGTATTATTACACTATGGAATATCATCCTTTAATGTAATTTGTGTAGTAAATGGCACAAATTACAGAGATGCTATTGCTGAGGTCAACAGGGGTTACATCTTTTGAAGCTGGGACCCCCACGGAGGTCAGATGACAGAAGGGGTAGTAGGAATGGCATAGGAATGTGAAAAGGATTTTACTAAATGAATGTGAAGTAATCAAGGCTCTGCAAGGTGTGAGATTCTACACTTGGAAAAAGTCTGAATGTCTCTTCATCCATTTGGCATGTACCTTGTAAAAGATAGTTCAATCCTTTGATGTGGTAATGGGATTAGTTTCATGAAGATCCTTGTGTTCCAGTATCTTATCCAAGGGAAACATTAATACTTACCCTCAGGTTAATAATTAAGCCTCATTTTTATTATATTTGGAATGGGATATGCCCACTCTCTTAACCCCTTAAGGACACAGCTTCAGAAGCTTGACTTACGCTTAATGACACAAGCAATTTTTGCATTTTC